CAGGTAGGATCTGACTACAATAATGTAGGCCACTTGTAAACCGCTCTGAGACCCAGTAGGGGTCATGAGCGGTATAGAAGTCACATGTAAATAAAAGTAAATAAATAAAATAAGCAAGGCAGCTGTGAGCAGTATTCAGCATAGTAGGTCATAAGTTCTACAGGCCTGCTCGAACCCATTTTCAAAACTCAGCATTGTTCATCTGGTACAGTATTGACCCCGAATTGGCCCAGTTACAGCTTTTATCTTTGAGAAAAATGGATTTCTGACCCTGACTCTGTTTCTTCTGCCATCAGAAATGGTGACTTCTGCTGAGACTACAGCAATACAGACCAGGTGATTGTTGGGCAGCCCATGAAGAACATCTAATCACACAAAGCTGTAAACACTTGAAAAGTTAAATACCACATAATACTGAGGAGGAGGAAGAGAAGGAAGAGGTGAACGAAGAAGAGGAAGAGGGAGGAAGAAGAGGAGGAGGAGGAGGAGGAAGATGAAGATGAAGAGGAGGAAGCAGAGGAGGAGAAGGAAGAAGAAGTCTCAGAGTGGTTTACAATCTCCTTCCCTTCCTCTCCCCACACCAGATACCTGTGAGGTAGGGGGAGCTGAGAGAGCTCTGAGAGAACTGCTCTTGAGAGAACAGCTCTGAAAGAACTGTGACTGACCCAAGGTCACCCAGCTGGCTGCATGTGGAGGAGTGGGGAATCAAATCTGGTTCGCCAGATTAGAGTCCACCACTCTTAACCACTACCCCAAACTGGAGGAGGGCAGTTTGTCTAAAGCCTGTAGAGATTGATTTTTACAACAGAAGAGCCCTCCCACCAGATGACTCCAAAATGCTATTATTGGGTGATATTATGGGTTGCTAGATTACGGGGATAATCTGTGGATTTCACAGAAGGGACCCAGAAACTGGTGCGTCCGCTGGAGTATTAACTTTGCCAACTGAATTAAGGCGAGCTGCTGCTGAGATGCCCAGAGAAGGTTGCCAGTCCCCCCACACACACAGATTTAAGAAGCCAGGAGGGGCAAGGTCCATTCAAGCAGGTCTCAGACTTCCAAGAATCCTGTCCACATCTCCATACTGCACAAGCTGAAGGGTATCCCACATGACTGGGCAAGTCAGCACCCTGAAACCATCCAATACCGTTGCTGCTAATGTTAGGGTTGCCAAGTCAAAATTTCGCCGGAGCGGGGGACTCCCTGCTGGCAGCTGGAGGGTGGCTGGAGTGCACGCGCAAAGCGCGCGCGCACCACACGCACATCACCCAGAAGTGATGTTACGACGCCGGGCTCTGAGAGAACTGCTCTTGAGAGAACTGCTCTGAGAGAACTGTGACTGACCCAAGGTCACCCAGCTGGCTGCATGTGGAGGAGTGGGAAATCAAATCTGGTTCGCCAGATTAGAGTCCACCACTCTTAACCACTACCCCAAACTGGAGGAGGGCAGTTTGTCTAAAGCCTGTAGAGATTGATTTTTACAACAGAAGAGCCCTCCCACCAGATGACTCCAAAATGCTATTATTGGGTGATATTATGGGTTGCTAGATTATGGGGATAACCTGTGGATTTCGCAGAAGGGACCCAGAAACTGGTGCGTCCGCTGGAGTATTAACTTTGCCAACTGAATTAAGGCGAGCTGCTGCTGAGATGCCCAGAGAAGGTTGCCAGTCCCCCCCCACCACAGATTTAAGAAGCCAGGAGGGGCAAGGTCCATTCAAGCAGGTCTCAGACTTCCAAGAATCCTGTCCACATCTTCATACTGCACAAGCTGAAGGGTATCCCACATGACTGGGCAAGTCAGCACCCTGAAACCATCCAATACCGTTGCTGCTAATGTTAGGGTTGCCAAGTCAAAATTTCGCCGGAGCGGGGGACTCCCTGCTGGCAGCTGGAGGGTGGCTGGAGTGCACGCGCAAAGCGCGCGCGCACCACACGCACATCACCCAGAAGTGATGTTACGACGCCGGGCACGCTGGGGGCGGGGCCACAACCATCCGAGGGGAAAACATAGAGTTTATATATTCATGGATCATGTTGGATCCCCAGGCATTCGAAATAACTCCACATTTGGGTCAAAGCAAGGTTTATTTCAAAGCGATGGTTCAAGCAGGAACAAGGACATTGTTAGGAATGACTGCCAATACACATGTATAACATAATAAAGGGATTTGAACCAGGTTAGGGCCAATGAGCCCAGTTCCCGCTGGCGGGAATAGAACTTGGAAACGCGCGCCCATTTCATGGGAACATAACAGTTCTACACAATCAACACAGGTTCAGTTCACAGGGTAGATACCCATAACAAGCTGAGCGAAGCACCGACTCCCACCACCAGCTGCATGACCTTGGCTAGTTCCGCAAAGTACATAGTAAGCATAAGGAAGCAAAAGGAACCAGGGGGGAGGGAAGAGCCCAAGATGTGTTAAGCAGGTAACACCAGATACAATGGCAGCTAGCTGACAAAGGCTTAGCTTTTTAGACAAATCAATTGAAGGGGAGGGGTAGCAATCGCTACTAGACCTGTTTGCCTTGACCTGGATAGCCCAGGCTACCCTGATCTGGTCAGATCTCGGAGGCTAAGCGGGGATGGCCCTGGTTAGTATTTGGATGGGAGACCACCAAGGAAGTCCAGGGTCCCTACGCAGAGGCAGGCAATGGCAAACCAGCTCTGAACATCTCTTGCCTTGGAAACACTACAGGCTTGCCATAACTCACCTGTGACAATGGCAAAAAAAAAAATTAGACCTGCTTAGAAGAAATATAATGAGATGGTAGGAACAGCCAACAGAGAACGGCCGTTATGTTGATGGTCTTCTTCTGAGTTTCCTGGCTGAGCATTGTTGGAAGCTGGATGTGAAACCAAAAAACTCTTGTCTCAGTCCAACAGGCAGTACTCCAATGTTCTCAAATTCATTCTCAGGCCCAGTGTTCCCTCTAAGCTGAGTTAGTGTGAGCTAGCTCATAGTTTTTTAGCCTCCAGCTCACACGTTTTTGTCTTAGTTCAGGAAGGATGGCTCCAGAGCAAATAAGTTATGCAGTAGCCAAACCGCTCGCTCACAACTTTAATGCCAGTGGCTCAAAAAGTAGAATTTTTGCTCATAAGACTCCACAGCTTAGAGGGAACATTGCTCAAGGCCCAACAGTCCAATCCTAAACAGAGTTACACCCTTCTTAGTCCCCATGAAGTCTTAGAATGGTGTAACTAGGATTGCACCGCAAACCACTGTGTTGGGTAACTGTCAATACGGTTAGAGATAAGATGCCTGCAAGCAGTGTTCCCTCTAAGCTGAGTTAGTGTGAGCTAGCTCATAGTTTTTTAGCCTCCAGCTCACACGTTTTTGTCTTAGTTCAGGAAGGATGGCTCCAGAGCAAATAAGTTATGCAGTAGCCAAACCGCTCGCTCACAACTTTAATGCCGGTAGCTCACCAAGTAGAATTTTTGCTCACAAGACTCCACAGCTTAGAGGAAGCATTGCCTGCAAGTATACAGCCCTGGTTTATGAGGCTGTATAAATGATCCCACACATTCCCCCAGCTAATAACTGGAGCCGGTCTCAACAAGGGGAGATTAGGGGTTTTCCTCCCACTTCCAAACTCTCCAGCATATGCAAGCCTTTCTCATTTTGAAGTCAACTGAATCTGAAAAGTGGCGTCTTTAATCCCACAAGCCTGTCTAATTTGAATCTTGCTTCCAATTGTTGCTGTCACAGCACTCGAACAAAGGAGAATGAATGAGCTGAACAGCCCTTAACAGCGCGGCGGGTAAAGATTGGGCCTCATATTGAGATGCAGAAAATATTTCCAATAAAGCTTCCCCAGTTCTGATCAGAACTAATGTTGGAAAACCAGCATTTCTCTAATAAACCCCAAGTCTTCAGTAGACTGCCCAAGATCATCTATGTGATGGCTGTTGATGATTCTGATAATAATGGTTTGGGACACTGTTACCCCTCTTGATCTATGGACAACAGAGGTCAGAGCAGTTTAGTATACAATTTGGCATTGGACATACGTTTATTGATCCCACCTTCTTAAAAAGAATCAGTAAGGCATTCAGCACTTTCATGAATCATACTACACCAGCACAGATCTTGCCACTGAACTCTGCATGTCTGTTCTCACCCATAACTACTTCAGGTTTGATGAGAACTTATACCTCCAAATCAATGGCACAGCCATGGGCACTCACCTGGCTCCCAGTAGGCCAATATTTTCATGGTGAACTCCCACCCAATGGCATCTCTCCTTTACTTGAGATTCATTGAATGACATTTTTATTGTCTCGGCCAGGGGTCATTCTGAACTCCCACCCAATGGCATCTCTCCTTTACTTGAGATTCATTGATGACATTTTTATTGTCTCGACCAGGGGTCATTTCCTGCAGGAGTGGAGCT